TATATATATATATATATTAGGAATATATTTTTCATATGGCCAAATATTTGGGATTAGTAACTATATCACTAAAATACAAGCTCTAATAACTCTTGATACCATGATGAAGCACAGCACAGAATTAAGGAATCAAGGAGATTATCTATGGTTTATTCCCTCACTTTTTTAGATTTGTAAACCAAGACCCAGAAAAACAGAGTGGTGTGCTTAAATTCATTCAACTGGATAATGTACAGCTAAGTCTAGAACTAAGATCTTTAATCTACCTGTCCCCCGATCAATCAATATCTATTAAGATTATTGTATATGTCTATAACTGTGTTACATTTGTGAATCCAAATAATTACATCCTATCAGTCTTTTTGGTTTGGGGATTTTTTTTTTCTGCAGAATTTGTGAGATAATAGTCATTTTTTAAATTCTTCAAAAAAAGAGTCAGACTGCAAATAAGATTTTTAAAATTCTCAGACATGCCAGCAGTCCCAACTTTATGGACATGATACAATCTACCAAGACCTTGCGCTTGAAAGAAACTACATTTAGCTTAAATGCTCTTTTGTTACCTTTTTAAAATTCCTAATAATTTTTTTTTAAAAGGGGCCCCATTTCATTTTGTGCTGGTTCCTGCAAATTATATAACTGGTCTTATATCACATTCCATTAGATCTTCATTTCTCACCATATGAATCTTTGGTTGTCACTACAGAATGTTGTCACCACAATTGTATTTCCTTTTTATGATCTTTTCCTGTCTTGTAACTTTACCAAAGAAGACATTTCTCTCTCTTTTCTGCCTGTAAAACACCTTGTGTTATACATGCAAACTAGAGGTTTCACACTTCGTTGGTTCAGCCAACACTGAGACTGCAGAATATTTCACCACCAAGATATCCTTTAAAAGTTTTACAAACCCACCAGGAGCCCAAGTGTGACCATATTACTAAAACAAAGGGGCTGAAAACTTTCTTTTTTCTTTTCAGCTAGACTTTCTTTCTGAAAACTGGCTATGATTATTCATTAAGCGTCAGCAAGATTTTCGATCTTGTCTCATGCTATCCTCATTCTTAACTGAGTAGGTAATCGTAAGACAAAATTTACACCTTGGTTACCCTCTTTCCTCTGTGATCAGCAGTCATATCCCTAGCACTCACAACCAAATTATCTCATCCAGACTTTGCTGTAGATTTCTTCCACCGAGTATGAGTCAATATTGGATCTATGCCCCCACGCTATTTTGACTCCTGGAACTCCTGACAT